TAGAGGTGATGAAAAAAGCGAACATAGTATTGACAAGTCTAGTATGCAATTTATTACTCTCTGCGAAATTAACGAATCCAATTTCATAACAGCACTACTCTCTTGTTATATGGGTACGAGTCCGTGCACTGGTGTGCAAAGTATAACGTGCTTCACGGTAATTTAATTAGAAAATACAAAATAAACCAATATGAGAGAGATTATTTTTAATTTGGCCACCATTATAAACTAGTCACTTTTGAACAGAACCCAAGTGGCCGACTTATACAAGTTTTGCTGTAAATGCAAATTACAAACATATCTAAATCAAATGATTGTGTTTATGATGATACTGGCTCCATCTTTATTTAATGCATTAACTTAAAACAAATATAATGGTATTCCTGGTGTTATATTTACGCCAAGTTTTAATTCCTTGATTCTTAGTACGCCCAATGTTTTTCTTTTGTTTAAGTTTGTTTTTACAATCTAATTCAATCCTTAACTTTTTTTCAATTTTATTTAGTGGTATTTTCAATCATTTTCCCATTTACATTTGACTATTTTCGTTTTTTTTTGTTTTTTTTCATCATGCTTGAATCTGGGGCCCGGCATGGCCAGGTGGCTAGGGTGCTCGACTCGCAGTATGCGAGTCACGGAATCGAATCCCCATCCCACCGAACATGCTCGCCCTCTCAGCCTTAGGAGCATTATAATGTGACAGCCAATCCCAGTATTCGTTGGTAAAAGAGTAGCTCAAGAGTTGGCGGTGGGTGATGATGACTAGCTGCTTTCCCTCTAGTATTACACTGCTAAATTAGAGACGGCTAGCGCAGATAGCCCTCGTGTAGCTTTGCGCGAAATTCAAAAAACAAACAAAGCTTGCATCTGGCCGCAGTTCCTGATGGTTAGGGTACTCAAATTGCAATTTTTTGGTTGCAGGTTTGAATCCCATCAATGAACATACTCATCTTTTCAGCCGTGATGGTTAATCCCACTATTTGCTGGTAAAGAGTAGTCCAAGGCTAGCTGCCTTCTGCTTACTTTATTACTTCAAAATTAGGGACGACTAGTGCAGAAAGCCCTCGAAAAGTTTTACGCGAAATTCAAAAACAAACAAACAAAGCATCTGGTCTTTATTTATCTACTTGTTTCTCATATACAGAAACTTTCATAGTCCACACCTTCTATTTTGTACACTGTACGTGTACCGAATATTTCATTATTATATAATTTCAGTTAGATAAATCTTAATCTTGGTACCTGGTTTAGTTAATTTTTTCACAAATAAATGGTACTGATCTATAAATGGATTTATTTTCCTATGCTTCTTGGGTATTTTTGGTATTAACTGTAGAGATAAACCCAAGCAAAAGAAAAATTTGAAAGCACTGTTATATTTGTATTAAATTAGTTACACTAAAACCAGATGAGGCTAGTATCACCATAAACACAATTATTTCATTGGATATATTTGTAATTTCAATGTATTTGTACCTTAAATGTTATACGTTATCATATCTCATTGTTAGAAACTAACATGACTATTACGTAATATTCAAATCATTACGACAACATAGGGTTGTATAAGTGTTCACGAAGTGGAACCAGAGAGCGCGTTTGCTAGATCGCCATGACAGGCGGACAATACGTCCAAGAAGTAGATCGACGTGTCTCAACATGATTAGATTTAATACAGTCGGAATAAAACACTAATTCATTAGTTCTATATGTAATTACATTTTTTGCCTATTTATAAGTAAATCGTCCTGAAAAGGAAGCTTAATTAAATATCATGCAATGATTTAAAATTTACTGTTTCACTAGTTTGACTTTATGTTATCCATATAACTTGACAAAATATTTCATTTTACTCATGCTACTTTATGATTTTATCTTACAAGGGTGGACACTATACTTCTACGTATGATTACATCATCAATGTATAGATTTGATTATGTTAAAACTATTATTTTAACGACAATGTTACTGTCCGTAGGATTTTAATAAATCTGCTGTTATACATTATTTGAATGAGATCACAATTTACGTTTTTGTTTTCAATTATATATATATTTATTTGTGTTGCATGTATTTTACAAAGGTGGCCAATGTTACTAAGGATTGTATACAAATTTCAAGATACATTTAATTACTTATATTTGACAAAGATGTTTCTATACTTCCGTAGGACAGTATGCAGCATATAGACATTCTTTTCATTTCCATCGGTGGAGACATTTCACTCTGACTCATTGTGACATGTTCAGCTTTGTCGACATTCATAATAAGCATAATATATACAATATTGTTCACACACACAGACGAATACACACGAACTTTACAACAATCAACTTAGAATATTCTTTCAATGTGTATGAGATTTCATTGTACGACGAATAGCAACATTCTATAACAAACAATCTAGTTTTTATTTGAATTATCTCACGTTATATTTAGAAATAGTGTTACGGTAACACCTAAAAATCAGTGCATTTAGCTTGCATGACATACATTTTATACTGTTTCTAGAGTACATTTAACGTACTGCTGAAAGTTTTGTCACACCTAACGTTTTTACAAATATTGAAAGATTTAACACACAGTTTATAGTTTACGTTCTATAACTTTTACATTCTGAAAAAGCCGCAAAACCTACTATTTCAACGAGTCAACTATTATAACAAAAATAAACTCTATAGTAAATAATTTTACTACATAATAAATGCGATTAATCACTATTATAGAAAAACAATACTTACCATTTTTCCGTAAATCTTTGAGGACTGAACTTTCTTCTATATTAGAGTTGTAACTCACATCACATACGTGTTCAAAACCACAGTGTAAAGTAAAAGTACAAAGTTGAATGTATGGGTCACGTGGTCACTGGGTAGGGTAGATAAAGAAAAAGAAGATATTGAAAGTAGAAAAAGTCATTAACATACATGACAAAGATCAGTTCTGAATTGGCCAGGTCTATTTCGCATAAGACCCCCAATAGTGCAGCGCTATGTCTGCAGATTAACAACGCTAGAAACTGGGTTTCGATACCTGTGGTGGGCAGAGCACAGATAGCCCATTGTGTAGCTTTGTGCTTAATTACAAACAAACAAACTATTTCGATAAAATAAAAATAAATTATAATACATTGTCGCTATCTATGTATTTACCTTATACTTAATATTGAAAATATACTCAATACTGTGTCCGACAAACGGTCAGTAATATTATTGTAACAGTTTTTATGATTGGATGGGTTCTTTTTAATATTCGGTAAAAATAATGTAAAGTCCACTGCACTTAACAGAAAAGGGAAATAGTTTTATTTCTTTTACCACAAGTTTTACAAGCTCACAAGCAATAGGCCTAACTCACAAATACAACAGTCACTTACTTCTTAAATTTCCTCTCGTATTATGGCACAAATTAAAAACTGACTAACTAACACACTCGCCAATACAGTAATCAAGCAACAGTGCTGTATCAGACTAGCTAACTGATTGACTAATTCACTAATTAAGAATATTTATCTCGTGTTTATTTTTTTTATATTACATGATTACAATATTTTCCTCAAGTCTTTAGAGAATTGAATAAGTTATGTCAAATCCACACACTCAGGAAATTTCTAGGCATCACGCCTCATCACTATCATGCCAAAATATCTAAATTAAAATATTAAAACACAATTCCCATATTCCCCTTCCCTGGATTGTGAAGTCCTATGAACAATCCTAACATATAAATAAAACAATAATATATTAAACTTAAAATTCCATAATTAGCAATAAAATATTTTTTTACAATTAACATTAACATTACAGTTATTGAATCAATACTGAAATATACAAAACACAAAGTGCTATCTTAATTTTGATCTATAGACGGTATTTCTTTCTTTACTAATTTATAGTGTTTAAAGTGTCCTGTAATAATGTTTTGGGGTGTTTTCTTTTTCATGGCTTATGATACGAAGATGGGATGATCTCTTGTCCTTTGCCATAACTTGTTT